GGCTGTTTTTTCAATCCTCAGATAAAATTTATTCATAGGATTAAATACAATATAAACAAATAAAAAATACAATTGTATAAATAAAATCGTTCAATTGTTTTACTTTTATATTCACCCAGGTTATAACTTATTCGATAGATAACTTCTTTCTTTACTTCGCCCGGAAGATACCCATAAGTCGTCACCTCACGGCAGAGCAATATCTGTGTTCAAATTATCATCCGAGATCAACTTTCAATTATAAGGTAATCGAAAGTTGATCTCAATTTTCCATTACCTTACAAGATATTAGATATATTTTCATGCTTCCGTTCGATCTTCAAATCTCAACTGAAAAGTTACAGTATTAAATATATAGTTAGGTACATATATTTTGTATTGCTTATTTTAGCCTTGAATTTCTTTTTTACATACATGATGTGCTTATAATCATTTGTGATCTGCTCACATCACAATGCTCTGTCGAAAATAACCGGAAATTGTTTAAAAAAACACATAATTTTTGTTTGATGAAATGGCTACCAACTAACGTTGTTTTTAAATTATTGAAATGGTAACACAAAGATGACAAACACCTGTCAACTTGTTATTGTTACCTAATTAAAAAAAAACGGAAACTACACAATTTTCGTAATCGTAGTAATTATTTATATTATCACTTTGTTTAGCAGTGACCAAAGTGTCGAATTTGACTAGAATGAGTTTAAAATGTTTATTTTAATTTTATATTGTATTTCACTTTTTTTTCTTACACCTACTTCATTCTATAACTCCACTCATGGTAGACGTGGCTATACCTGCAGCTATATTAGTAGTATAGTTGTAGCACGAATGGGTCGGTTCGACCGGGGAAGCACCACGCTCTCACAAAATACTAGCGTAAAATAGCAGCTTAACACTGCTGCTGTGTTTCATATGGTGAGTGTAGAGTACCGGAGACCCTTTTCACTGGAAAATAGGCATTCCATCTTAGTCATTTCATCTTAGTCATTTCATCTTAGACAACGCATTTGCATTTTGATTCGCGAACGAGGATAGATGTAGATGACTATGGGCCACAGCAACCACTTACCATTAGGTGAACTGTGTGCTCGTTTGTCACCCTATTCTATAAACAATTCATTCCGCATATATTGTACACACACACACAGGAATGACACACTGGCCAGTTATAATTTATTTTGAAAATTATATTACTGACAAGTAAAAATACGAATTTTAATTTCAAATCTCCCTCCACATTTTTTACAAGCTAAACTAAAAATCGCTAACTTTTTACGATTTCAAATGTGGCCTACAATCGGAAGTATTGTTTGCTATAATGCTTCAAATAGCATTTATGGATAAACGTCCGTCTAAGGCAACCATGTACCGCTGGTATAACAAATTTCACTACGGTCAACAAACTTTGAGAGAAGAAGAAAGTAGTGGTCGCCCTTTGACAGCTGTACGGAGGTAAACGTCTTAACAGTCAAAAATATTGTTGAACACAATAAGTGAATTACGCATTCACGATATTCAACACAAACGCTTTCGCGTGAGGAGGATAGCTTCGCGTTATCTGCTGCGTTCACCGTCTGACTTTTTCAATTTCCTAAAAAAAAAGGCAAATTTTTATGGACGGAAGATGGCCTAGAAGTGGTGATGCAGCCTAAGACGGTAAAGCGGACTGACTTAGCTAAACAAAAACCTCTTTACTCTTGCATTGAAGACACGCAAGACGGACATGCTCGTTTGCCCCCTCTTCTATGTAAAAAAAAAACATTTAAATTTAATTTGGATGGAAAGACATAAGTATGCCGGCAAATTATTCCACTCTTTTAGTGTACGCATTACGAACGACGAAGCAAACCAAATTTTAAAATCTTTTATTGCACTTATGTTGACTAAAACAGAATGCCTTGTTACAGGCCCATTCAAAGACTCAGTAAAGCTACAGTGTAGTTCAAGTACTTGTAAAAGTTATACAATATAAAAAAAATACACCTGTTTAAGAATTACAAAAATTGCTAAACATAAAAATCACAAATGCGTTGCTATGCAACTGTGACTTTATGGTCGTACTTTAAGTACACGACAGAAATATATTTTTATGACTTTCTCATACCCTTTCGATTCGTCACTACTCTCTGACGTCAACGCAATTCAATTTCAATTTCCAGAAGTAATGACTGCAATAATTTATTGCCTTACTGAAGAGTTTTTATATTAAGCTTCTTCTTAGTGTGATGTGGACGTAATTAATGAAATTTGGTTCAGAATTTAAATCTTCATTGGATACAAATATTCCAAAAGTAAAAACACATCGTTCATTTTTTTCCTCACAGCCTATCAATGTTTATGGTAACCCTCCATATTCGCCATACTTGAGTGAACAAGGTGTGTTCTGTTTCATTTCCTTCCGTAAAATTTCTTACGACCGCACGAGATGGTGAGGGAAAGTAGATTCTCATACGCCGTCATTACACGGGGAACAACATAGTACTTACAATAAAACACAGTCAACTTTGTTGTAATTGTTCTATTTGAAGCCATGGTACGCGGTGGTCAAATGTTTGACTGTGGCGATGCGGGTTGTAGATTCGATTCGCGCATAGAAAAGTACCTACAACAGATTATTTCGAAATATTTATGGAATAGAGAACGGCTTATTGCAATTTGTTTGATTTTTTTTGTAATTGACTTTCGTTGAAATTGTCTTTACACTAAAGTATAGGCCATTAGTTACGGCCTATGTACGCCCCACTGTTGGGCACAGGCCTCCTCACATTTTGGAAAGGATTATGGTGCAATTAGGGCGAGTTGGCGACCATATAATACAAACATAACATAATAAAGTATTTCGAGAATATGTGAATCTTCGGAATTCTTTATTCCTCAGGCATGCAGGTTTTCCTCACGATACAACTACATCACAATAAGTAACATTTTTTTTTCTTTTCAAGCAACTACATTCCAATTTATCCGAGTGTTTTTCTTGTATTATCTTGTACCTTGATCAATTTATATGGAACCACATGAGAAGCACCAGCTTTCGAATATAAAAAGAATCATCAAAATCGGTTCACATAGAAAAAAGTAATGAGGTAAGGTACGTTGGGGTAATACCGGACGGATTTTCGAATAGTTGGAAGAGTCTGTCAAAAACTTTAATTTCTCGACATTCGTATACGTCAGATTTATGGAACATGGAGCAAACCGTTAATCGTTAAACGTAGTTTAGCTCTGAGAATCTTTTGCTTGTGTTAACTCAACGGTTTCTGCTTTAAAGGTGTGCGAAAACTAGACATACTTTTTTATATGCATAATGAAAAATTGGCCATTAAGGGGTAAGACCGGACTTAAATTTAAAACCACTTCTACTGCTTAGAGAAAAAAGTTTATAAAAGAGATTTGTCCTATATTTAACGCTCAGAAACATATTTCAATATGATCTATAAATTACTAGAAACATAAATGTTCCAAACGATTTTCTCTTTTTTTGATTCTTGCCATCTGATCTTATCCCTGATATAAAGAAATTGTAATTTTATGTTTCTCAAACTTTGTTATGACATAAGATGGAATTACTCAATATAAGAGAAAGATCGGATGCATTTGATTTTATATGGGAAAAAAAATAACAGTAAGGACTGGCGAAATGCCCGGGGATAATGCAGGAGTTAAGGAAGATATAAATATTTTAACAAAGCGGCATTTATTATTATAAATTATTTTTTAAATAATTATTATAAATTACATTTTGATTTGTAATAGAGGATAGATATAGATGTCTATGGGCCGCAGCAATCACTTAACATCAGGTGGACTGTGTGCTCCTTTGTCACCCTTATCCTATAAAAAATGTATTTTAATGTGTACTTAAAAGTAATAAAACCATCGTATTGTTTTATTACTTTTAAATATACAGACTTGCTAACGAGACTGAGTCCCATAGTCACTTGAGTAATCAACGAAAAAATATACACGACCAATGAAAGTTTAACAACCACTGCCATATTTGTAACAGGCAAAGATCGGATAATATTCATCCGATCTTCACTCACGAGGGGAAACATCGGATCTCGGCCTACAGCGATCTTAGCCCTGCATGGACCAGCTTTATTTAGCTATAATTTCATAAAAATTAGTATCCACACAAAATAATAACAAAAGAAGCCATATTCTCGCTAAAAATCGTAAATAAAAGTGATAGGGAAAGATCGGATGAACAAAAATAATACAAAAATTACATTGTTTTATAAAATGCCACGCAGCACAGGTCCCACTTGCCGGAGTGACTGGCGCGAACTGAAGGTCGGGGCAGGATGAAATGGCGTCGTGTAGCATATTGTTAGCTTTTCAAAATATAGCACAATTCGCCGGGAATTTGAATCCTACGGTCTTGCCCCATCACCGATCTTACCCCAACGTACCTTAACACATAAAAACATGCAGTCGAATTCAGTACCTCCTTCTTTTTGACGTCTGTTAAAAATAACGAAAGGACTGTCTGGTCCGTAGGCTAAGCGAGAGGGTGCTGCTGGTTGTGAAAATTTTTATCAATATTCTTTATCAAAATGGACGACGCAATATTTTCATCATCCACATGCTCGCAACGAAGAATGAACTGTATTTCTTTTCTTTTTTTTGTTAATCTAAGTCTAATCTAATTTTCACTATTCACGAAATACATATTTTAATTCAACTCTCGACGTGTTAAAGGCAAAGAACATGAATAGTATCTATGCGTTTCAAATTACTTATTTACTCTTCGGAAATAAATAATACTCAAGCAATAAATTATATTAAATCTTTGTCTTCAGCACGTCTAATAAGTGAGTAACTTGCAATGATACCACTAAAATACGTTTAAGTGGCTAATTTTATTAATTAAGTATCACAAATAGTATTTTTGTTGCAAGTTACAATCAATTCCGTCTTCCAGGTCGCTCAGGATGCCTTAAATCCCCTGATCATTGTTATTCTGAAAAATTAAAAAGTAAACTTGCTTGTTCCAGATGTTAAACACCGAATGAGGGCACTGGCGTCCTGAGCGACCTACGGAGCGGGGCCGATTCGACACAACGAAGATGGAAACTGGAACACTACTCATGAAGATATTAGAAAACAAGATGGCTGGCGTTGGGGCCAGTGTTGGAATGTGTTGGATATTATATAGTCTTAATTTAATGTTTAGAAATGAAAAACTATTGTAATTTAAGTCATCCGAAATTATAAAAGTTGATCTTGCGTTATATATTTTATCTTAAAACTATAAGTGATCGAAAGTAATCCATGGTTAGTTGAATAGTTAAGTTGTCTTACAGATGGTAGCTTGACACGAGTTCAGTTTTTTGTTAATAGAAGTAAGAGTAACAAACGAGCATACAGTCCACCTCATGGTAAGTGGTGGTGTCGTCGTAGGCGGCATAAACGTAGATATGAGCATTGGCAAAGTTTAATGAAAACCTATTCATTCCTACCTATTTATTGCAAATATCACCCACGATATATAATCAGATATCTTAGTTTAAGTAGTGTGTATCTACTATGTGATGGAGGTTTAAGAGAACCCTTGATGGGTAATTTTAAACCGCCATTTCAATAGCCCCGTAGGTGTCGTAAAAGGCGACAGTGGGATAAGCCAGAACGTCTTTTTACGTAAGGCGTAAAATACCTAGGCCGATGACGGGGAGTAGCGTTAAAGGTGCACGACGTCTGGTGCTGCGATCGTCAACTTGCCTACTAAGCGTGATGAAAATTTCCTGTCATAAAGGCAAATCCTCGAGGCCTTATGACAAGTGGACTTTTACGATCTGATTAAGAAAAAGGAAAGAAAGAAGTAGCTACGATATTAATCGCAATTGTCGGTACAATATGCGGTGGTGCAGTAGTTAGGTACTTGTTATTAACAACTACATCATTTTCAAAAAATGCCAACTTACCATTACATACATAAGTTTGATCGTAAGAACATTCCACTTTTGGATATATGCGTCTTATTTCTGAGGGGGTTATGGGGCAGAATATATGACAACCCTTGTTACGCTACTGACGGCAGTGGCGTAACATGGGTTGCTGCCAAATATGCTAAAGCATAACATTTTCCCATATTTTTAAGTATCTTAATAAAAACCCTTTTTACTGGAAACGAGGCATTCCATCTTAGTCCTCACGGGTGACAACGCATCTGCATTTTGATTCGTAATCGAAGATAAATTTTTGTAGACGTTTGTTATATTTTAATCAAAAATATTCAGTAACTCTTATTCCGGTTTTGAGATTTTTTGTCATCATTCAAAAAATTGAGACGGGGAGCTAATTTTGCTTTCTTAAAATACCGCTCCTAATAGTCCCCCTGCTAAGCCACTGATTGTATTAGATTTTCAATTTTAAGGTGAATATATAGCTCCTTATCTACTGTCTACGGCTCAATAGTTTAGTTGTGTGTACCATTTACTTTTTCGGTTGATTCTTAGCAGTTTTCTCGTTCATGATTCCTTCTCTAAAATGTTTTTCACAAACAAATCCCTGATTTCTTATGTACGTCGAAATACCTATGAAATTACATTTCATTAAACGTTCAATCACGGAAATGGTTTTAAATTTTTAAATACATATACCAATAATATCGTACTCACTTTGAATGAGGTCATTTTACGACAAAGTCAAGGAAAGACAAGGAAACATTAAGATGGAAATGGCATAATAAGCTTGTAGTCTACCCGGGTTATCTTGTCATCAGATAAGTAATATTAATATAGCTTAAATAAAATAACATCGCAATTTTGTACGGCGACATTTCTTTTAAATATTGACTATTCAAGGAACTGACAACTTGACTTTTAATAAGTATTTTTCCTATATAAATTTTTTCCACCGCGTGTTCCGTCAGAACGACGTGCTTACACAGTATAAAATTTTTGTGCGTGAATAATTCAGATTCCTTGCACCTTTTATAGCTGATTGACAACATAAACATTTTTTTTTACTATTATGGTGTATTATCTATCCTTAACATTATAGAGGTGAAGTTGTTTTTAAATATGTAAGTTGGTTTGTACGAGGAAATCTTTGGAACTGCTGATCCGATTCTGAAAATCCTTTCACTGATAAAAAACTACAACATTCCGTAGGGACATTTGTGAAGAAATCAGTATTATTATGAAAATCGAGTCGGTGAAATAAAAGCTGCTTGGCTGTTTTATCAGCATCCTCTGTCAAAACGATTTGATATAAATCAAGACAAAGTATTGCAAAGTAACCGCCAGACTCGCCGAGGGAGTGCTCTAAGTCCGAAAATCATACGTGGTAGAGCCATGCTGCAGCCATAATAGTAGTCTATAAGTATAGTTGTAGCACGAATGGGTCGGCTCGACCGGGGAAGGACCACGCTCTCACAGAATACCATCGTAAAATGGCAGCTTAACACTGCTGTGTTTCGTATGGTGAGCGTAGAGAACCGGAGACCATCTTAGTCCTCACGGGTGACAACGCATCTGCATTTTGATTCTTTATTGAGGATAAATGTAAATGTCTATGGGTCACAGCAACCACTTACCATCAGGTAGACTGTGTCCTAGTTTGTCACCCTATCCTATAAAAAAATCTTTGCTATTACCTTAAAATCCATGCAAGCCTGGGGAAAGCCCTAGAGTCCGATGAAGCTGTAAAAGCCAAAAAGGCTAACAGCACTAACATCATCAGAAGCAGCTTTAGTTTTGTTTTAAAATATTGTGTAATAATGAATTCTTTAAGTAACTTCAGTATTGTTTTTAATTTCCTTAGAATTTGTTTAGTTTAACTGTTATGAATTATGATTTTATTATAAATCTAATGCAGCTATTGATATGTTGTAATTTAATTTATAATCGCACATTTGGTATATTTTTGAATGTTATGTAGATTTTAAACTCAGGTTGATACTACTAAAAGCAATAATAAGGTATTAGAAATAAGATTCTCATTAGATTATTTTTAGACCTCTGATTAATTAGGTGTATGAATATTAATTACCATTTAAGTATTACTGAATAGACTTTCTTAGCACATTCCTTTTAAAAGTGATTAATTTGCATTTTAGTATTATATATAATTTAACCAATCAAGAATAACAAAGAATGAGACATATCAGTTTAGGTTTTAGATTTTTATTCGTTAATTTTTTTGCAATGTTTTTATGTAATTTACCAAAATATATTCTTGCCTTATCTTTGTACATTTAGCATTAAGTTTTATTTATCTTTTATTGTTACTTGTAAACAATCATTATGATTATTAATTAGTTTTGTTACAGTAAGTATATTGTTATTCATTTTTAATAATGATTGTTAGTAATGACATTCAATGACGTCAAATATTGGATTCAGAATATCATTTATTGCTTCGTTAAATGTGATTATTCATATATGTATGCTTAATAAACTTTATGGATCGTTTACATAACTTGTTTATTTATATAACTATGTTTATTAAAAGCAAACATCTAATAGCGTTTTAGAGATCTGCGTCGAAGTAGATTGTACGAAATAGAATTAGAAGTCCCTGCAAACTTATCGTTTCTTCAGATATCTATTTGATTCTTCTATTTGATAATGCGATTGTGATGATAGGTTGCTGTCAATTGCTACATAAAATTAATTATCACTGTAAAATTGTAAAAAGAATTAGCCAGTCTCTCGGTATTCTATAGGATGCATTTCGGTGAGTTTTTAAACGCTTTAATTCCTCCCTCTCCTTTCCATCATCGGACAACCAGGCGGTTAGCTGGTCTTCACCCCTTTGTTGTCGATATTCCACGCATTAGTACCAAATGGTTTGCTTCGTCTTTTGTAATGCGTACAGCAAAGGCGTGGAATAATTTGCCGACGTCTATCTTTCCGTCCGAATACAATCTTCGTCTTTATGCAAGAGTGAAAAAGCTTTTGTTACGCTAAGACAGTACGATTTACCAACCAGGGCTGCATCACCACTTATCACCACTGGTGGGATCGTGGTCAAGCACTGGCTTATAATAAGTAAAAAAAAACTTGAAAAATAGTTATTCATGTGTTATTAGCATGCAATTACCCCCCCCCCCCCCCCCCAGCTCTATAATAGGCAGGTATTTTGATATTCCAGGTAGACACTGCAACTTTACTGATGTGTATTTTCTTTATTTTTTTTATTTATCCTACCCAGATGCAGCCGTGGCGGGTCGCTAGTACGTACCTGATTGTAAATGGATGCTGTGGCTTATAAACATATATCTGTCATAGATTAACATTAAATATTAGATGTGTTGTGACCCCTGATGACTCAAATAGAATGCGTCATTACCAGTAAAACGGGCCACCGATTCCCTCCGTCTATCATACAAAACACAGAAGTATTATGTTGCTATTTTATGCCGGTTTTCTGAGAAGGCGTGGTCCTTCCTCGGTCGAGCCGACCCATTCACGCTACAAACAAAATATAGCTGCAGCGCGGCTAAGAACTTCGGACATGTGTTTGTTCTTTTCATCTGTGCTGTAAGGTGGTAACGGTTAAATAAATACTTATTCACTCTTGCCTTGATGAGTATGAATTGTGTGTGTAGACTGTAGACTATGGCAGACAAAGAATTTTAGTTTCTCGTTATACGAACCGACGAAGTAAAACTATATATACATCTGAGACACAGTATATTCTAAGTATATGTCTGAGACACGTTAACAACGAGACTCGCGGGTCTTCTGACTAATCTGTAGAAGCTGTCGAATACAGTGCGTAAAAGTCAACACCGTATGGATAAAAGCCGTAACTAGAATGACTACCATAATAAATGTTCTGTTATAAATGTTGATTCCCGCTGGAATTCCAAACTTGAATCATCTACCACACAGTCAGGTACTCTAATGATGTGTTTATGATACTTCGTTGTGTTTATAGTAAACTTTGCTATAAAATTAAGGATAGGCGTTTTATATAACGCTAAACTTACAGCGCCAAACGGCGAATTACACTGATCTTACACATAACAGAAAGACATAATATTATGTTGTTTAAGAATGTTTCAACTGTATTGTATTGTACTGCATTTTATTGAAATTCTAATAAAGAAATAAAAATATAATTTATACCATTTTATAGTTTTACTCTTTGGCGAATTAGCGATTGCTGTTTAATACTAGTAATTCAGTTTAACCCTTATATTTAAAAATAAAATTACCTTATACTGATTTCAGTCTGTAGGAACATATAGTCTGTAGGAATACTGTAGGAGTTGGTAATTTAACGGTGGAGTTTTCTGCCGAACTTGAAGGCTCGGTGTTGGGAAATATATTGCTTTAAAAGTTGCAGCAGGCGCCTCTTTTAATTTTCCATAAATTGATCTTTATGAGAAATATATTATTTTCTAAATGTTTATTAGCCGTCTATCATGTTTAGAGTAATGGATCGTTATAATATTTGCAGAGATAGTTTAGTCCACGGTTCCTATTGGATAGATTTGTTTTGTAACTACTTAATCATGCTGCTTCGGTCTTGGAATGAAATGTGATATACATTGGCTACGATTTTTTGAAAAGATGTCGTTTTCCTCTAACCGGGCGAAGCCCTATTATACTATATTCCCATTTTCTCTATCACATAAACAAGATATAGGAGGATTCAGATAGAGTCTATATGAATCCTCCTATATCTTGTAAAATAAGTTAGTAAGGAAAGTAAAGTTTTGCTCTTTTGTCACCCTTATTTTATAAATATATATATATATATATATATATATATATATATATATATATATATATATATATATAAGGGCGGCATTAATATATACACTGCTTCAAAGCGTGCTGACTGTATGGCTGGCTTCACGTGGTTTCGAAATATTTTCATTTTTTTTACTTGAAAATTGTAAGAAAGAGTGCTGAGGGCTAGGAATGAAGCAATGATAAGAACATTATTAATAGTTGCGTTAACGTTGTGCTAGGAGTACTTTATGATCCCAAAGCGGGTTTTTCTTGCCTTGGAGTATGGGACGTGGAGGGCATAGAAGCCATGGCTTTGTCACATACGGTGAACCATGAGGAATCCACATAACTGGCCTGAGATGATGGGCTGGTCTGCGGTGGCCACTCCGAGTAGGGTTGGTGAGCTCATTTTTTATTTATAGAGTAATGGAGTAAGTTTGTTACGGGTCATAAAAAATACATCTATCCTCGAGGCCTCTGGTTCTCTACCATCACCAAATCATACGAACCAAAGCAGTATTAAGCTACTGTTCCATGCTGGCTATCTTGTGCAAGCGTGGTACCTACCCCGATCGTGTCGACCCATTCGTGCTACAACCATAATATAACTGCAGAGGCTGGCCCTACCACGTAAAGAACTTCGGATGTGTGTTATAGTAGACTGCGGCGAGAAAAGTGTCTTCTTCTCTCACCCCCCGCAGCCGACGTGGAGTTGCAGGGGAAAGAGGAGTGTTGGTATAGCTTTACTTCTGTACTCCTATTATTTCGTGGTATGCCTCCGCCGAACGCATAGTGAATTTTTGCGACGTTCTAAATCTATACAAATAAATATAATTAAGTAATGTCAAAATAACAGCTTTTTACTCATTGCATATGAAAGTATATAGTATATACGGTGTTTATATCAAAAAAACATTTTTTAAAATTTTTGTCTGTCTGTCTGTCTGTTTGTTCCGGCTAATCTCCGAAAAGGCTGGACCGATTTTGACGGGACTTTCACTGTTAGATAGCTCATGTTACAAGGAGTAACTTAGGCAACTTATATTAAAAAAATAATTAGGGTTCCGCGCAACAAAACTAAAACCCTAAATAGACGCGGGCGAAGTCGCGGGGAACAGCTAGTCTTAACATAAAAATAATAAGAGATTTCCCGTGTAGTGACTGTGTAGGAGGATCCACTACTATTTACGATCCTGTGCGCCTGATATTATTTTGTTCAAAGTGACATGTATTAATTTAATATAAATGAAATTGAATAAAAGTGAGTGTGAGAGAGAACGAGAGAGCCAGTGACTGAAAGTCTTGAAAAGGTCTTAAATTTCAAAGCTTTATATAGAGCCTAAATTGAATTGAAAGTTTTGACTTTGACTTTGACCGCGGGGGTCACAGACGGAAATGAAAAGCAAGGAAGGCGGGGCGGGGCGGGCTAAGTTAGTTTGTCAGTCAGTTTGAAATAAAAAAAGTTCTTTCATCTTGAGATACACTGTAACTCAGATACACATTTTTTTTAAATGACATTATGAGCCACGAAACAAGCCTTACACTAAATATATTAAGCAAGTGAAAGATTTCTTTTTAAATATTGAAGCAGTACATAAATTATGTTTAATTCCAGAATTTTTCCCTATCTCTTTATTTAATTAATAAACGTGGGAGTTAAGAAAATAAATGTTTAAAGTCTAAATAAATGTCTCCAATTAAAGTGGCCTTAATGGACTTATAATTAACATTTAATGGGAGCCTTGTCAATTAACGGCAATTAAGAGCAAAATATTTACATATGATTGTAAAAATAAATAATAATTCTAATTAGATCCTTTTTAAAGAAAATGTGCGTATGCATATTTTTCAATAAAAATCTATTAAGTTATAATTCAAATAATAAAATATGTTTTATTCATAACATATTATTTATTGAAACATTAGATAACATAATTCCCATCTAATTCTGTATCATCTCGTCACAGTTCACAACTGTACAAAGCGTCAGTAGCCTAATAGCAGGACGCGGATCGCGAACTCGAAAGGTCGTGGGTTCGAATCCGCCATTCCACTATTGTCGTGAACCACTTCTAACAAAAGCATTTTAAGCTTACCAGAAGTGGTTAAAGGGAATATTAGTGATGTTTTACTAGTATTTTAATAAAAATAAGGAAAAAGGAAAAGGACGTGGATCTATCCCATTTCTTTTATTATTCGCACTCTGAACAAATGACTGCAACGCTCATGCAAAGCGATATTGACGAGAACGCTATGGCAAGCTTTATAACAAGAGGACATACAAAAATCCGCGAAGGATACCTTTCCAAAAACGTGCTTACATGCGTACATGCTTAGTGCTATATGATGATACCGTTCCATTAAAATCAGCTCGCTTCTATATAAAGAAAGAAAGAATGTTAACGGGCCCGCGAAGCACGTGAATATATTGTATGCGAAGCGAATATACCCAATAGCAATACCAAGTTAAAATGCCTTTTATATAATTATATAATTTGGTTTGGCCAGTACAAAGCACTTTGTTACGTATGCGATCAAAAGCACTTTGTTACTGGACAAGCGCGATTTTAGAACAAACTAATATTTCCTACGCTAAACTAGTTCTTAATTTGTCCGACAGTATGTAGGTATTATGATCCTGTCGGGCATAGGAAAAACTATAATAATAATATCTGGACTTGGCTGATGAGGTGACTGATGATTCCTGCACGCAGGATGATATGCCGA